GGGGATTCAGGGGTATTATGATTGGTACACATGGTGTGGAAGGGACTGGGGGAAGACAGTACAGCACAGAGAAGGCAAATAGTGACTCTGGCATCTTACTGCACTGATGGGCAGTGACTGCAATGGGGTATTGGGGGGACACGATAACAGGGGTGAATGTAGTAACCACATTGTTTTTTCATGTGAAACCTTCATAAGAGTGTATATCAATAATACCTTAATAGTAAATAAATAAATAGATAGATAGATAGACAAATAAATAAATAAACAAAAAATAAAATGAGAACATCAGGATGATCCAGCAAAATGTCTAATTTGGGATTATTTGTAACATCATGAAATAAAATAAAGCAAACTGCTTTCTCCCTCCCCCAAAATAGACAATCTCAAGGGAAATGTGTTAGCTATTTCATGAATTAGAAGGGTTGTCATTTGTAAAGAGAATAGATTCTTATGCCTCCTGGTTTCTTAAAGAACAAAACCCATACATCTAAGTTTGGCATAAAAATCTTGCAGTGTGGTTCCGTACTACCTTTCCAACTGTAAGCACACCAGTCCCAGACACCTTCTTTCTTATTTCTACATTTTCTATGTATCATTTTCCTACCTAGAATGTCTTACTCCTCTTTCGCCTAGAGGACATTTACTCTTCCTTTCAAGATCACTATGGATTTCTAGATTAATACCTAACTTCCTATTCTATATCTACATACTCACTGAAATGGCCAAAAGAATACAAAAACAGAAAAAGCTTACCTCAGCACTGGAAACCAGGGATTAATACCTTATACAAGCTAGAAAATCTAGGGGTATCTGTTAGATACAGTACAGTTGGATTCAGGTAGAGAAAGACACCAAAAACAACTTGCCACATCCCTCCTTTAAGGTAGCTGACATCATACAATTAATAAATCATTTTAGAAGAATGCCTTAAGAAGTGTAAACATATTCTTGAGGTCCTGTTAAATGAAAAAAATGTTTATAGAATACTATATCAAACCTGCCTTTTTTTGTATGAAAGTTTTTAATATGCATTGAGAAGATATTGAAAAAAAATGTTCATAAGAATAGCAACTATTAATATCCTTGGGTGAAAGTTTAATGTAAGATTTTTGTTTTATGCTCTTCATATTTTCCAATGATCTACACTGAATATGAATTTGTTTTATGTTCAAGCAGAAAATTAATGGGGAAAAAACTCATCTGGAAAGTTAGGCTGGTTTTCCTTTCCATGAAGCCTTCTTCTACCTGCCTAATCAGCGTGGGCTGCTTCTTCCTCTATATTCTCAGTATTTTTGTTCTCACCCACTTTAAACACGTACTAATTCTTTATGGACCTTTTTTTCTACTAGACTGAGATCCTTCAAAGAGAAGTTATTTCATATCTTTATCTTCCTCATTTTGTTCTTTAGTTACTAATTCAAACTCTGGAGTAGAGTAGATAGATGCTCAGTGTTGAGTTGAATATTTTCCCTAAAAGATATGTTGAATTCCTAACCTGTGTTATCTCTGACTATGCCATTACTTGCAAATGGGAGTGATGAATCTACAAACTAAGGAACATCAAAAATTGCTGGAAACACCTGAAGCAAAGAGAAGGACATGTAACAGATTCTCTCCGAGGGCTTGGAGAGAGGATGGCCCTGCCAACACCTTGATTGGACATCTAGCCTCCAGAAACAGAATAAATACCCATTGTTACAAGCAGCCCAAGTTTGTGGTACTCTGTTACAGCATCACTAAGAAACTAATATCCCCAGAGAATACTTGCTGAGTAATAAATAGATTGCTTCTGTGTGGCCCCTGGAGACAAATTCAGAATAAATGGATTGATTTTAGAGGGAGAACATTCTTGCTTTAAATTAGGAAGCCCTTTCTAAGAGCCACAGTAGTTCACAGGTGGGATGACCACCTCAGGAGGTATTGGGTTCCCCTTTGTGACAAGGAATATAAGCCTCTGCTGAATAAACACCTGATGAGATTTTTACAAAGAAACTTCAAGCCACAGGTGTTATAAGGATACTATTCTAAGATCAATGATTCTCAAATGTAAAATTAAGAAAATAGCTAGTAACTATTTGGAAATCTAATCTTGGCAATCCAGGATCCACTGAAATGAATAAGATAAAGCAACTTCTCCTGGTTTTAATAGGGGCAGATAATATTAGCACCACCTACTGGCATATCAAAATGCTAATGCATTTATGATAATATTTATGCAAGTTGCCTGGGACAGCATATATTAGAGATTCAATCAAAAATGACTTTCTTTCCCTTCCTCTTTCGAGAAAGAAAAAAACCTACGAATGTCTTGAAGTGTCTAAATTCATTTTATTTAAAATAAACCCTATATCTGATAAAGATAATTCATGCAATACACAAAGTTTATTCTAAACACTGACTTAGTGTATCTGAGTAGGATTTCAATTTGTGTGCAACCATAACAAAATGCAAGATTATAATTAAAGAAATATAGATTAAGCCCTTACAATGAGTCAAAAACAATGCAAGGTGGGAATACAAACATGAATTTATTTTTAACAGCACATTTCAATTATTGGAATAAAAATAAGCTTTTATTGTTGTGCCTGTATAGAAGAAAACATTCAATCAAAACATATTTACTTGTAAATGTCTTATTTCTGTAGGGGCTAAAACATCATTCAAATAGCTAAGATGGTTGTAGTTCATCTTCAGTGTTTTGTGAACTGCTATTTTCTGAAAAAAAATGAATAAAAATCTCATCATTTTTATATGCACATGTGAATAAATCCATGTATGTATAATTATATATCATGTGTATGTATGTATATGCATATATCTATTTATAAAGGTTTTAAATTGTTGCAGTTTGGGGAATAGATTAAAAAATTATGCACACATATAATCTCCACCAGGTATAATCAGTCTCTGTTAGAATGGACTTTTCATAAAATGTTTCCTACTTACCAAAACACTACTGCTTTCCTCCTCCTCTGCCCCCTCCAGGAAACATTTAGAAGCAAACATAGTATTACATAATGCTAGTTTTACTTAACCCAAATTTTATTAAGTAATAGAGAATTAAATTATATCTAACCCCAAGCCCAAATAACTCCTGGGAAAGATTCTGTATGTGCCTTGTGAGAAGGTTCATTCATTGTTTCAACATTTTAAAAACTACATTTATGGTTAGAAAAGAAGAGTGTATGATAAATGTTTATTTAAAATATGCCTCCAAACTGGGATGGAACCCTGAAATGTTAGGTCTCCCTCAAAAGTGTTTACCTAAATTTACGAATCTTTCAGACTATGTCTGTATAGAGTAGCTGACTCAAGTAACTTGTTCAAATAGGCTTCTATGGTACCTTTCTATGTTGCTCCAGTAAAAATATTTTCAAGACCAAGGAACTTTCTTTCCTGAGAGAACATTTCTACATATTGAAAAGTTTATTTCAATAATTCTTCTTTGGAACTAAACAAGCTGTGAAACTCGAAGAAACAGAAGAAATCCTTTAACACTTGTATCGTTTTTAGTCACGTATCACCTTTTTTGAAAAGTTCCCTTAGTGAGGTCTCCACACTATCAGTTCTCACCATTAGAAAGTCTGACAACAGCACAGTAATGAAAAAACAGGTGAGAAAAAAAGGTTAAACCAGTTTGAGATCTCTTAAGAGTTGTGTGAATTCTAGGGTATATTTATTGCATTGAGATGCCAGGGATATAGCACAGGTTTTAGAATCAAATAGGTAGGTTCAAATCATAGCTCTGATACTCATTAACCATGCTCCCTTAAGCAGTTCACTTTATTTCCAGCAGTCTCATGTACAAATTAGTGTAAGTAATACCTCCACGCCAGCATTGTTGTGAAAGTTAAATTAGATCCTACACATAAAGCACCTGTCATATGGGGGCACATAACAAATATTGACATTCTTTCATTTTTTTGATGAGTATAATTAGAAGTGGGGAGATGGGAGGGCTCAAAACAACCTTAGATTGTATGATTTTGGCTTTTTTTTCTTTTTTAAAAATAACTTTGGATAATTTATAAGGAAGGCAGGGTACCATCCATGCTTTTCACTTATTTTTGGTAAAAGTCATGAGACTATAATATATATGCACTGTCAGAGATAGGAATCTGAAATTAAGTGAGGGATGGGTGAATGTGATTACATTAAAATACTTGTTATTTCAAAAATTTCAAAAGCATGTTCACACACAATCCCACTTACATCATTATGTGTCTGCAGTAACACATGGATATATTTGAGGCAGAGCCAGATGTATTGCTGGGCTTGGCATGAGTGCACATGGCAAATACTGTTTTTTTGAAAAGTTCCCTTAGTGAGGTCTCCACACTATCAGTTCTCACCATTAGAAAGTCTGACAACAGCACAGTAATGAAAAAACAGGTGAGAAAAAAAGGTTAAACCAGTTTGAGATCTCTTAAGAGTTGTGTGAATTCTAGGGTATATTTATTGCATTGAGATGCCAGGGATATAGCACAGGTTTTAGAATCAAATAGGTAGGTTCAAATCATAGCTCTGATACTCATTAACCATGCTCCCTTAAGCAGTTCACTTTATTTCCAGCAGTCTCATGTACAAATTAGTGTAAGTAATACCTCCACGCCAGCATTGTTGTGAAAGTTAAATTAGATCCTACACATAAAGCACCTGTCATATGGGGGCACATAACAAATATTGACATTCTTTCATTTTTTTGATGAGTATAATTAGAAGTGGGGAGATGGGAGGGCTCAAAACAACCTTAGATTGTATGATTTTGGCTTTTTTTTCTTTTTTAAAAATAACTTTGGATAATTTATAAGGAAGGCAGGGTACCATCCATGCTTTTCACTTATTTTTGGTAAAAGTCATGAGACTATAATATATATGCACTGTCAGAGATAGGAATCTGAAATTAAGTGAGGGATGGGTGAATGTGATTACATTAAAATACTTGTTATTTCAAAAATTTCAAAAGCATGTTCACACACAATCCCACTTACATCATTATGTGTCTGCAGTAACACATGGATATATTTGAGGCAGAGCCAGATGTATTGCTGGGCTTGGCATGAGTGCACATGGCAAATACTGTTCCATGTTTCCCAGTCATCTGATCGGCCTCCTGACAGAATGCTGGGGCTGGATGGTGTCAAACACCAGAAGAGCTAAGAGAAATAAAGATTAACCTCAGGATGTTGTCATGGTTGGTTTCTTACCAGTGCATAGTGGCCTCCATGCTTTAAAATTCATTAATTCATTCAACAAATATTGATTAAACACCAACTTTGTGCCAGACTCTGCTTGGTAACTAACTAGAAGATAGCAGTAAATGGAGTGGATAATGTTCTTGCCATTAAAGAACATGCAGGCCATTCAGTCTAGTGTCAGAAGAAAGTGTATCTGTAAGTACTTGTGAAGATGATTAGAACATTAAAAAGGAAGGCTAGACAGCCCCATGAACACAACTGATGATTCAGTAGACACCAATGGAAGATCCTTAAAAGATGGTAATGATGCCTTTGCAATAGGATGATACATGAACATGGAGCCACAACTATCACCTAGAATAAACAGGTAAACCAAAAGAGAACTGTTGAAAGACTTTCTGAATATAAAACATTTTACATAATGAGTCTCTTGTTTGGGTAATTCTTAACCATTTGTTTACAGTTCACCTTTTATAGAGACCTAATTTCAAGAATCTCTTCAGAAGAATTCTAAGCATCAGTATCATTTTAAGTTGGCCTTTTAAAGGTATAATATCCAGATAATTTACCAAGGTATGCTATATCTTGTGTGTCTGCTTTCTGGTTTTAGCCACTGAATTGTCAAACCTGTTAACTGACTTCAAAAGACATGACCTCAGACTAAAAGTAATGGAATATAGTTTGTAAAATTAATAAAGATAATATAAAGAATATTTAGTCATATTAACAACTAGTGTAGTGGTTTCTGGGCTGAATAGGGTCCGTACATATTGATGGTGTCCTTCCTTGGCTATCATTCACAGGCTTACCTAGCTGTGCTTTCTGCCAATCATTGAAAGGGCCTTCGTTGGCTTTTGAGTTCTTAAGAGTTATAAAATGTTCTTTGTTCCTTCCCTACTGCCTAAGGAGAAGAAAAAAAGTATATATGCATAGATGCATTCCTCAGCATGAAGTCTTTACAGATGCCTTTTTCCAGTCAGAAATAAGCAATTTTCTATATTATTTTCAAAATCAATAGCTTAACTTTTCCTAATATAAGTTTTCATTTCCAAAGTTACTTTTTGGGGCTGGGAAAAGACCTCAAATATTCATCTAGAAACTTAATTTCCTCTGTTAACTTCTCCCTGCCCTTCTTTCCTCAGTTCTTCACACACCTGCTTTTGGCTCATGTATTTTTTCATATATAGCTTCCGAGTAAAACTAACTAGAACTCCAATACCCTGACTCAGTATCTAAATCCCCTTATTCTGATTCTCACCTTTACCAAGCTTTCCAGGTAATGAGTTTTTTATTTTAAAAGTACAGATCATTGTAGAAAGCAATATATGGAGGACTCTCAAAAAAGTAAAAATAGAAATACCATACAATGCAGTGATTCCATTTCTGGGAATTCGAAAAAAACAAAATCATTAATTTGAAAAGATACGCATATGCACTCCTGTGTTATTGCAGCGCTATTTATAATAGCGAAGATATGGAAGCAACCTTAGTGTCCATTGATAGATAAGTGGATAAAGAGGTGGTACATATACACAAAGGAATATTACCATATTCCTTTGCAGCCATAAAAAGCTGAGACTTTGACATTTGTGACAACATGGATGGACTTATAGTGTGTTATGCTGAGTAAAGTAAGTCAGAGAAAGACAAATCCATATGATTTCACTTACATATGGAATCTAAAAAACAACATAAATGAACAAACAAAACAGAAATAGACTCATAAACACAGAGAAAAGAGTGGTGGTTGTCATAGGGGTGTGATGGGGGTGAGATAGGTGAAGGGGAAAAAATTAGTAAGAATGTGATATTTTGATGGTTAAATACATGTCAAAATGCATCAAGCTGTACACTAAAGATTTGTGTATTTTACTGTCTATGCCTCAATAAAAAAATTTTAAAACCCCCCCCAAAAAAAAAAAAAGTACAGATCATTGGACCTTAGTATATTCAGCTTCACTTTGAAAAAGTGAAGTTTACATTTTTTAAAGGTTTTTCTTTGGTCAACTCAGCTTTTTTTTTTTTTTTGCAACTCTTTGGTGAACTTTCTAATTTTTAGATCTGTGTAGAAAATGTGTCTATTTTTATCTTCTGTCTTTCTCACATTGTATTGTTAGGAAAGAACTTTTCAGTATGCATTTCATGAGATCAAGTAGATGACTAATTCCTGTCATACGACTGCAGGCAAGTTTCTTAACTCTTCCTTTCCTGATTTCTGAAGATATCTCTTAATCTGTGGTCCATTGCTCTATATCATTTGCCGTGCAGAAAGGACTTAACATAAATACAGACTTAATTTTAAAATAAGTACTTCAGGGAGCAGGTTTTACTGTGTGCCGGCAATATTCTGTTTCTTGAACTAGGTGCTGTTTACACAAATGTATTTTTCTTCACTTTGTGAAAATTCATCCATCTGTACACATGGTTTGTTCACTTGTTTTTCATAAAACGTTTACTACAAAAATAGTGCTTTAAAAAATCACCTTTTGTTTAAGTTCAGTTACATTGTGGCCCATTTTTCCATTGAGGCATTCATCATTTTTTAATTGATCTATGAGTTCTTCCAGTAACTCAAGCCATGAGTCATCCTTGGCTCCTCACTTCCTCACACCTTTGTCCAACCTGTAAGCAAACATTGCCAGCTGTGCCTTCAAAATACATCCAGAGTCCTACTACTTCTTCCCACTCAACTGCTACCTTCCTAGCCAAGATGACATCATCTTTGGCAGATATTATTGCAGTGGTCATGTAAATGGTCTCCCTGTTCCCACACTGTCCCCTACCCAACATTCAGTATATATATATATATATCAATCACACAGCATCCAGAGAAATCCTATCAAATATAAGACAAATTTTATCATCCTTCTGATCCCAGCCCTCCAGCAGCTTCACCTTTTGTTCCAAGTAAAAATCCAAGTCATTGCTGTGCCCTACAACAGTCCTGGGGTATCCACCGTGATGCTGAACCTGGCTGCTCTTCACTCCCTCCCTCACTCCGCCTCACCATGGTGGCCTGCTTGCTGCTTCTCCAACACAGTGGATAATCACCCTCTGCCTGGAAAGCTCTTCTTCAAGAAAGCCATCCACATGTCTTGATCTCCAAATCTTCAGATCTCAACACAAACATTACCTTCTTATTTGAGACCTTCCCTTACTATTCTATTTAAAGTTGCAACTGTCTCCCTCCAACATTTCCTATCCCTTCCTCTGCTTTACATGTAGACTTATTATCATTAAATATGCTATAGATAGATGCAGATGAAAAATATAGATACAGAGATGTATACACATGGTTGGCAAAAGATTGTTTTACATATCTTTAGTTTTCTTTTCACAACTACGAGAATTACATTTCTGAGAAAAACTATAATTATTAAAAACACCGTTACAATAACAAGGTCTCAGAAAAACAGGTGACACATTTTAAAAACAATCAAAATAATGTTTCATGTGTAAATTTGAAACATGGCAAATAGAAGTTACAGAACGTCTGACACAACCTAGATTAATCACCAATAAAATCCCATCCTCAGGCATTCCTGAGTTTCCCTCAACTTTTCACAGGCTATTGCTGAGTCTCTCTGTTCCACTAGGCATGTTCTCCCACAAGTTTACATTTCTGCAGCCAATTTTATCTGTTTACATTTTTTGAAACAGCCCTTGTTAAAATAGATTTTATATGTTGATATATGAGTTATTTCTTGCTTTCCAAATGTAGGTGGAGATCTATTGGGTTGTGGCAATTTTTTGACCAAAGAGAGGGAATAAAAAATGAAAAGTCTGAATCATGAATATCAAAGTAAGTATTAACTTATGAAACTTTTGTTTAAGGAGTATGCCTGTGTGAGGCTGCACATGATGCAAAGTGAATTTCCTAGTGAGGTTTTCAGGAAAAAAAATAGTTTGGAATACACTATTATAGATACCTCCACTGCCTCAAGTCACTCAGAAATTTGCATGGTTTGTATCCAGTGTTTTGCTTTAAGCTATAAAACACTCTTATGCTAGTTTATTTGCGGATGAGAGGTGAGGAGAATCAGATATTTCTAGGACTCAAAAAACCGTCAGCCATAAAGTATATTATTCCCAGAAAAAGAGATTTCAGTGGAATAATTAAAACAAAGAATATGGAAGCATGGTGAGGTTATTTTCATTTGAGGGACTATCTGCCTGTTTTCTTTGTCTTATATTACCCCTACCAAATTATAACAAAAATATTAACATTGACCTAGATTTGTTTAGGATAAGCTACATGAAATAGCCATTATTTGACCATTCTACAGAATTAGGAATTTAATGTGGTTCAAACTAACAATTTGGATATATTCATTCATGGTGGAAGTCTACTGAAAAATTTTGTTCAGGGATTTGGAAGTGTGATTAGGGAAGTTGAAATGGTCTAGTAAGAAGATAAGTCTACAGGGATGTCTTAAGATTTCCATGAAATAAGCATTTAATATTTATTATTCATCTCTTTAATACAACAAACACTTACTGTGCACCTATGTTGTGTTCACTTTCTTAGGTATCTAGGATAGAAAGATAAATAAGATGTAACTCTTGACTTTAAGGAACCTGCAGTCTAATGGCCTGTATTCAATTTGATTTGAATGGAAGTGTTCAAAGTTTGTGCTGCCAATGAATTATTATAACTAAAAATCCTATTTTCCTCCATTTTAAAAATTAAATGTAACTTTCTTTTAAAAATGCATACATGTTATTACCAAAGTGTTACAGAAATGTGTAAGAAAGTAAACTTTCTATACTGGTTTGCATCATTTGGAATTATGCATATTTCAAAATGACCATATTCCAGACAGGGCAGAGGAATCCTTAAGTGGCTATTCTGTAGTAAGACCTTGGGATGTCTTGCCCTGAGAAAATATAAATAGGGAAGGAGACAAAGACAGCCCAGAGGCCCAGTGCTGTCAAAATGCAAATATGGCCAAGGAGTT